TACCTTTCATGTGGCACAATTTTTTTTACAATATCTACAGTAGTACAACAGTTATGACATAAAAAAACACGACATTCAATTTTTCATTTATGATTTTATCAACTACTGCATCAATAGATGACGCTGCGGTCGTTAAATTACCAGGTCTTTAAGGAAATTTAAATCGGTATATATCTATATTAATAAAAAAGAGTAAAGAATAGCCGCCTAAGTGGATCGATTATACAGCCAAAACATTGATTTGAAAGGGTTGTTCGTTTGTTTGTATGACTATTCATCGTTAAATTATCGCCCGAACTGAAGATGTTTGGCAGAAACACACAATACACGAAATATATGTAAACTTTTAAAACTGGTGCTTCCAAAAAAATAATAGCTAAAAGATCACCCTTTATAATTGTAAAAAAATATGGAATGGCAGCAGGAGTAACAAAAACTTCAGAATTTCCTCTAACCATATCTGGAATCTTCATAAAAATCGGTTTAGTAGTTGCCGAGATATTTGTATTTCAATTCAACGATGATCCGAAATACACTTCCTGCTCGATAATGGTCGCCTATTACCTGAAAATGAAAAACCACACAAAAATCGATCTTTTAAATAAGGCAAAAATTGTTTTCATAATGTCTCTGCTGTTGTTGTATGAAAATTATAGCATACATGTAGGGCAAAAGGCAGTTCGAGGTGCAATTTATTCATGTTGCTTGATATGTAGGTGTGATTGTATGTGATGTGATGCACATATGCAATGTAAAATATATTTACTTACGCATACACACACACACTGTTGTAGCTGGATGAAAAAAACATTTCCATTTTTGCAAGATCGATTTTTGTGGTGTTTTTCATTTTTTGGTAATAGGCGCTCAGCATCGAACAGAAAGTATGTTTCGGAGCATGGTAGAATTGAAATTCGAATAACTCCGGAAATACTTAAGCGATTTTTATGAATTTTTCAACAATGGTTAGAGGGAATTCTGCAGTTTTATTACACAATGACATTAAATATTTAGAACGGTACGAAAAGTACTAAATGTGATATAATTTGTATTTGGCGAGCTAGTGTAGAGCTAGAACTTTTACATTTTAAATGAGGGTCACTGATGGTGTGTAGATTAGATATAGCAAAGGGTTTTTTGTGGACATTCGAACTATAAGTATGCGAAAAGTACTAAAATGTACTACATTTAGTACAATTTCGTAGCATGTGAATGGATAGAGACCTAAAAACTTGAAATTTGGAATGCAAATTATGGTTGAGAAGCGATATAAGGAACTGGCTCTGGAAGCGTGTACTTATGTGTAATATAATAATATATTCGGTACAAATTTAATTTGGAGGTACAAATCGAGTTGGTATCCTCAAAAATTTAAATTAACATTAACGTCGAAATGTAGGATTGGGATATATATACGTTGTTTTGGAGTTTTTTTACTTATGTGTACGATAAGTACTAAATCGTACTATAATTGGTACCGTATCTGGATTTGGGTGAACCAATAGAGCTGGATACAATACAGTTCGGAGTCAGGATCATTGTTGGAGTGTAGGATTATGGTATGTAGAGAATTTTGAAAATTCGTACTTGTAAGGTACTATATGGTACCAAATTAGAATTTGGGTGAACCAATAGAGCTGGAATCTTTACATTGGGAGTTAGGTTCATTGCTTGGTGTAGAATTGAGCTATTTAAGAAATTTTGGGAAATTCCTACTAATGTGAACTAAATTTTGTACAATTTAAATTTTGGGTGAAACGATGCAATGAAGTTTTGGAAATGGTACCAAATGCGTTTGTTTGAGTGAACCGATTGGGCTGTAATTTTGAAATTTGACGGTCGAATCACTTTTGGGGTGTAGGATTGAGCTTTGTGGAAAGTTTTGAAAATTCGTACTAATGTGTACTAAATTTGATACAATTTAACTTTTAAGTGAACCAATTGAGCTGAAACCTTGAAATATGGCAATAAGGTTACTGTTAGAGTGTAGTATTTGGGGTATGGGTGTAGTTTTGAAAATTCATAGTTAGGGCTACTAAATTGTACTAAATTTGGTACCATTTTGTGTGAACTGATAGTGCTGGAATCCTGCAATTTGGAGTTACGTTCTTTGTTGGTATGTAGTATTGAGCTATGTAGAAAGAGTTTTAAAAATTCGTACTAATGTATACTAAATGGTACCAAATTTGTATTTGGGTGAACCGATAGAGCTGGAATCTTAAATTTTGGTGTTAGGATCACAGTTGGGGTGTAGGAATGGGCTTTGTGGAAAGTTTTGGAAATTCGTGCTAATGTGTACGAAATTTTGTACAATTTAAATTTTAAGTGAACGTTTCGTCTGGGCGATGATCTGTCAGTCACTCACTCACTTAACACTAAGCTCTTTTACATATTACGATATTCCACTTTTAATTAGCTTTCCAGAATATTCCGATTCTAATTGCCATGTTATAACCCTTGAAGAAAATTAAAACAAAAAATATGTTTTTTTATTTTTTTAAATAGATTTTTTATTGATTTTTTGTCTTTGTTTTTTTTATATTTTTATAATATTAATATTAACTGTTTTTTTTCTTCTTCTTCCATCTTTTTTTTTTCATTTGTTATAATATTTGTTTTTTTTTTTGTCTATTTTATGTGTGTTTTCATTTCGTTTTCTGGGATTTACAATAAAATTCCCATTATTATTTTTTTTGTATCATTAACTTCTTATATGTATATTTCAAATAATTTGTTTTTTGTTTTGAATTTATGAGCTACTCAACTATAAATATGGCAAATTACATTTAGAATAATACAAATACAATATAATTGTAATTTATTATATATATTTAATTTATTTGTTTTTTATTTAATTATATATTACTAAATTTTAAATATATAATAAGTAGGGTATATTTATTTATATATGTACTATGTATAGTGTATACTGTATATGTTTTGTGGGGGGAGTTTTTTGTTTTCCGTTTTTTTCTTCTTCTTATTTTTTACTTATTATAATATTACAACAATTTTTTATTATTTTTATTTAATATTTATTTATATATATAATATTTAATAAATTTTTGTTGATTTTTTTTGTGTGGCAATTACAATAATTACATTGTTTATTTACAATTGTTTTTTATTTAAATAATAATAAAATTTTTTTCTTAACCAAGGAGAGGGGATCATAACTTTAATAGGGTGTTTGGGGAATGATTTTTATTTTTGTATGGGTTAATTATACATTTTTGTTTGTTTTTATTTTTACATTGGCCATTTTTGGGTTTGAAAAAAAATAAAACAAATTTCTTAAAAATAATAAAAACAATTAAATTAAATAATAAAAATTATTTTATTTTCTTATATGTGTTTTTATAATTTATTTTTTAATTTTTTTTTAAATAACTATTATACCTAAAAATATATATTTACAATAGGAATTTTTATTTTACAAATGATTTGATTTTTGTGTTAGTTTGTGTCTGTGTGTGTGTTTTTTTTTTTAATTATCACCATGCAGATATTTAGAATTTTTTTTTATGAAATTCGTGGCCTGTTTTATAATGAACTGCATTTTTTTGTGGACGTTTTCTTTTGTTGTTGTAATTATTTTCATATATGAATTTATGAAATAAAATTACAATATATATTTTTTTATTTTTTTTTTTCTGTTCAATTTTGTTTTTGTGTTTGGTGACAAATTTACTTAGGGTCGGGTTGGCTCATCGGGAAATGTTAACAAAGTCATTGTGTAGGAAAAAAAAAATAATAATAATGAAAGGAAAGTGTAGCATTGGAACACATAAAAAAATAATAAATTAATAAATTGCACGCAATGTTAACATAACATTCTTAATAATAAATACATTCACGGTTTAGTTTTTTTTTTGTTTAATTATAATGAAATTTACTTCAAATTTGGTTTATTATTCACGGATGTTTTGTCCAGGGAAATTAAAAAAAATTCAACGATTTTTTCTAATTAGAAATATAAACGATTTTTTCCAATATAAAAAATAAACGATTTTTTTTCTAATAAGAAAAATAATCGATTTATTCCAAATTTAAAAATAACCGATTTTTTTCTTTAATATAAAAATTCTGATTTTTAATTATAAGAAAATTGATCTCATTTGGATTTATTATTCAATGATTTTTTTGCCCGGGATAACAATTTAGTATTTTTCTAATATGAAATATTCTGATTTTGATTTATTTTGTTTATTATCACGAATTAATGTATATTCTCCAGAAAATAAAAAAAAATGTAAAACCGATTTTTTCTAATTTAAAAAAATGCTGATGCTGCTGTGTTTAAAAAAATATTTTGTTTTTGTTTTAAATAATATAATTTTTTTGTATTAAATAATATTTTAATTCTTTTTACAAAATTCTATCTTAACTGTGGCTTTGAAATTATGGCTCAAATATTTTTTTCATATTTCGCATTTGTTTGCTCTGGAAATGCGCCAAACGATCATTGAGATCATTTTTTATGTTGATTTTGGTTCATTTACCCTTTGCCATAATTGGAGGTATTAAAAACTAGCTCTGGGCCATATTTAAGACATGCAAACCCCGCTCCCTTAACCCAAGGCGATGCCACAGAATCAGCAGACGTCTATGAAGCTGACGTAAGGATTCTCAAATTCCCCCTGGGAAAGAAATTCATTGGCATTTTTTCGAGAGCCCTAAAATCCTGTTCTCAGCTCTGCTAAACGCTGGCCAGCTCGACGTCACATGTTTCCAGCGTTTAGAACGCATTTTGGTATGGTTTTTTTGAAAAGGAGTTTAAGAAATATTTTTAGGAACTGTTTTCTTTTGCGGCGCACGTTTCTATAAAACTCGGGGGAAATTTGTTGTTAACACTTGGTGTTGCTGTTGTTTTTTGGGTTAGGGAGCTGGAGTGCTTAATTTTGTTTGTTGTTGTTGCTTTTTTTTACAAAACCAGTAAATATCTGGCAGGTTGTTGTTGGTGTTGGTTGTTGGGGAGGAAGGGCATTCAACGTTGATCTTCATTATGGCCAATTTCAATTGAATAAATTGCCATTTATATTATTGCCACTCCATCACGTGTAGTCTGTACGCCAGGTGCCCTAAAATGAGAAGAAGGGGAAATGGAGAAATTAGTAAAAATTGAATTTAAATAAAAAAAATCACGGAATAAAATCGGATACATTTTAAAATTAAAAAAAAAATTCACGCCTTTAACTCTGATATTTCCAGAAAATAAACAATAAAATTGGATATAAACTCGAATCTACACCAGGCTAAATTGTTAACACTCTAAAACCACTTGAATAGCCCCGCTCCTTAAGCAATAAAATCTACAGTAGTCTAAATTTTAAAATTCTAATACCAATCCTATAACTCAGATAGTCTCACGCCTTGCAAATATTTCGGTTATAACGTATATAAAATGCTAATTATTTTAAATTCTAAAACCACGACATAAGCAATAAAATCGGATATAAACTGGAGACCACATCAAACTAAATTCTGAAAACTATAAAGTCTAAAAAATCGGATACAAACACCAACGTAAATTTCTACAACTCAAAATCCGCACCTATAGCTCTGCTACTCTTACACCTAAAGGAACAAAATCGGATATAAACTCGAGTATACAGCAGGCTTAATTTGAAATTTTTTAAATGGCCACCTATAACTCTGATAGTTCCACAAGACAAAATCAAAATACGACTATAGCTCTGATAATTCCTCAAACTTTGGGTAAACCTTGTTTAAGTGATGTGTAAACATTGTTAAAATTTCGTAAAAACCTTGTTTAACTTATGTGTAAATTGCATATGAACCTTGTTTAAACTTCGTATATACATTGTTAAAACTTCGTATAAACATTGTTTAAATTAAGTGTAAACATTGTTTAAATGATGTGTACATTTTGTTTAAATTAAGTGTAAACCTTGTTTGAATTAAGTGTAAACCTTGTTTAAATTAAGTGTAAACATTGTTTTAATTAAGTGTAAACCTTGTTTAAATTATGTGTAAACATGGTTTAAATCAAGTGTAAACCTAGTTTAAAGTAAGTGTAAACCTCGCTAAAATTATGTGTAAAAATTGTTTAAATTATGTGTAAACATTGTTTAAATTATGTGTAAACATGGTTCAATTTAAGTGTAAACATAGTTTAAACTATGTGTAAACTTTATTTAAATTAAAACCTCAGTGTTAAACTAGTTTTAACTTTATTTAAATTTTGTGTGAACACAGAATTAAATAATTCCAAACAATATTTAAAATACGTCTAAACAATATATTAATTCAAAATTTGTTGTTGTGAACCTAGTCTAAACTAAGTGTAAATAATATTTAAATTACGTATAAACAATATTTAAGTTACGTCTAAGCAATCTGTAAACTTAGTACAAATTATAATTCAAAATCCGAACTAAGCCCTGTGTGAACGCCGGCTGAAACACCTGTCTGAACCCAGTTTAAGACCGCTTTGAACTCTGTCTAGAACACTATGTAAACCCTCTTTAAGATCAGGATAAAAATTATTTTTTATACCTTGTCTAAACCACAATTAAAACCGTCATTAAAATAAAATTTAAACCCTGTTTTAACTTCGAATACAACTCTGTTTAAACACCACTTGGATGTCTATTTTATATACCGTTTAAACCAGATTTAAAAAACTCCTTTAGATACATTTAAACCTCTGTTATTCGAATCCCATTTCAGACTCCATTTCAGACTCAGACTGTAAAACCTCGTTTAAACACCAACTTAATAGCCTGTTTTAAATAGTATTAAATCCCCTCAATTACATCTGAAATAAATCTAATTTGAATCCACCTTGTATCTTCGTGAAAACAAATACAAATCCAATACGACCCTTAATGGGTTAATTTGATTACCCCAATTCATAAATATTTTTATTTATTTTTCATTGAAATTTTGTGAAACTTACCATTGAACCCAAACCCAAATGGTAGGGCTGCGAGTGGGGCACAACACCACCACCCAATGAACCGGCCGTTGAGAAGCCACCTTGCAGACCACTGGAAGCACCCAAAGCGCCCATGCCGCCAGTATACCAACCGCCATGCATGTGCGCATGAGCTGGATGTAAACCACTGGAAAGATGGGAATGTTGGGCTGTAAAAAGAGAAAAAGGAGGAGAACAAAAATATGGAGAATATTAGTTAAAGTTCCGACAACAACAATAAATTCTTAAAGTTCACTTTCACTTTTTGAGAAAATTATGGAAAATTAAAAAAATGGCTTTAAAACTTACCCATTGACGCTGAGAATCCACCGCCAAAACCTTTCGATGGATCCAATGGCTTAAAATCGCCCATACCCAAATGGCCGCCCAGTGGCATACAACCGCCACCCAGGCCCTTCTTCTTTTTCGATTTCGATGATAATTTACGATTGCGGGTTTGAATGCCTTCTTTTTTCATGGTTAGAGGGCGGTTAACCTGCAAAAAATAGAACAGCAAAAAGGAAATGCATAAATAAATTATTAAAGAAAAACAAGAACAAAAACAGAAAAATAAAATGTAAAAATATTCATCATAAACATTTTTTATCAAGCGGTGGATATCAGCCAAAAAATGACCTTTGGCAATTTTTACAAGAAATTCTCTCATACACAGACACACATTTTAAGATAATTTGTTAACCGAAAAAAGGATGTATGTTTTTTTTCGGGTTCACCCAACAGGAAATGCAAGTCGAAGTAGTAGCAAACTCGAACTTTAGACAATTGCATCTGCATCGGGTATTGTCGTCGTCGTCGAGGTAGGCAGACCATCCACTCAGTCAGGCTATGTAAATGCAATGACTGTGTGTACTTGCCTGCCTAAGCGTTGCTTGGTTCTGTATTTAAAGGAGAACCGGAAAAAGCTTGCAACATTACATTATATCGTACTTTTTTACAAGATCTGATAAGGTTCTAAGCAAACAGCAACAATACCACCACCAACAACAACCACAAAAAGCAGCTAAAAGGAACCCCAAAAAGGTAGGCAGTCAGTCATATGAGTGTAAGTATGTAACAGACAAAAAAAGAACTTCGATTTTAATGCGTTGATAACATACAACATATATACAAGAAAGAAAGAGAGAACAGCCAGCTAGACGTCTGTCCTTACCAAACACTCTTCGTATACATGTAGAAGGAACCCATGATATAGGAACAAAATAAAAAAACCTAGCAGAAACACGCAGTTCCGAACCATGAGTACTAACAGCTGGGTAATGATGAATGTTCATATATGTACATATACAAAGGTACATGTGTGTATGTGTAATTTTTCTGTGTGTGTATTTTTTACAACACAGTTTTTCCCCTCTTTTTTGGGCTATCCCTTGCCTCCATTTTCGGTTCTCTGCTCTAGACGAAAAATATTGCATTTTCAACTTTTTATGTATGAGATTAAAGGCAGAGAATATTCAGTGGAAGAAAAATCGGAAATGGGGGAATTTATTGTATTTTTGAAGTCCTAAATTATTAAGAATCCTAAGGCCTTGATATACTTATCGCATAATTCAATAATCCATCTTCAAAATCTCAATTATCCAAAGTTGAGAACTCTGCATTCCATTGCATCACTTCGTAAGCAATGAATTCATGACATATTGCATTGTAAAAACGTTTGATGGTGTAGTAACGGCCTTGTATGTCTTTTGGAAAATTTGAAGACTTTGTGAACTTTCTCTAATTATAAGATACAATATTCTGCAGTATTTAATGAAGTTCTGCACTGCAACTTCTATTTCATCTAATCGGAAGGCATGAGTCCATACTTCCTTGTCTTACAAATGTCCTTAAAAATATTTTCAGATAGGAAGTGAGTTTTCAAATTTATTTTAGGCTTTATTGGGACAACTTTAGGTAAGGAAAGTACATTTAAAAAGGTTCGGAATCACACCTTCCATTTCAACTAGTCAGAAGGCCTTATTTCCTCACCATTTAATTTGCAGATTTGATTGCATAGACCTATTGCTAGTATAAGACTTCTCAGATATATTTGAGGCCTTTCAAACTCTTCATGGAGCAATAAATATTCTTTATTATGCGATTTAGGAATGTTCATGTTCACCTCTTTTCTTTTTAGTTAGTCGGCAGGCATGAATCCGCTTTCTTCGATATAGAAATTTTCCTAAAAACTAACTTCGCCTATGAAATACCAAAGGTCTTACGTGCAACTTTTCTACCAGAAGAAATAATTTTGTGATGGATTTATGAAAGTTGAGATTCACACCTTACAAGGGCGCTTCTTTTATCACTTACTTTAAAGCTATTTGGTAATGAATAAGTCACAAATTTCTAAAACGAAAGGAATATTCTATTTTTGAAGTTGATTTCTAAAATAGTTCATAAGCCAATGAGAAAAATTTGTAGTTTTGTAGTGTTTTTTGGGATAAATGAAAGAGCTTCAAACTTCTTATTCTACCTTACTGTGAAGCTATAAAGTAATGAATAAATCTCGAATTTGTGCGACAGCTAGGAATTCATTATTTTTAGAGACTATGATTCTAAAGAAATTGATTACAAGCCTTTGAAAAAATGTTGAGGCTTTTGGAGGCACATTGGCGATGAAAAAAGGAGCATAGAAGCGCTTTTTTTATCACTTACTTTTAGGCTATTTAGTAATGAATAAGTCGCAAATTTGTAAAACAGATAGGAATCTCCTTTTTCTGATGACAATTTGTTTTCGAAAAATAGTTTGTAAGCCTCTGAAAAAATCACAGCTTTTGCAGCCGTTTTATAGATAAATAAGAGAGCTTGAAACTGCTTATTCTACCCCTTACTTTGAAGCTATTTAGTAATGAATAAATCTCGAATTTCTGTGACAGATAGAAATTCATTATTTTTAAAGACAATGAGTCTAAAGAAATTGATTGCAAGCCTTTGAAAAAATGTTGAGGTTTATGGAGGCACACTGGAGATGAAATGAAAAGCCTACAACTGCTTCTTTTATAGCTTCACTGGAAGGTGTTTGGTAGTGTATAAATCTCGAATTTCTGGGACAGTAAAGAATCACTTATTTTGAAGGAAAATAATTCGTAGCAATTCGCTTGGAAGTCTTTGAAGAAATGTGGCAGATAAGGGAGTCACATTGGAGTTGAATTAAAATCCTATAACTGCTTCTGTTATCGATTCATTGGGAGCTGTTTGGTAATGACTAAATCTCGAATTTCTAAGACAGTAATGAATTCCCTGTTTTGAAGGACAAGATTTCGATACAAATCATTTGAAAGTTTTTGAAGATAGGTGACTGGTTTGGTAGCCATTTTAGTGCTGATGGAAAGAGCATACAAGTGCTTATTTTATAGCTTCCTTGGAAGCTGTTTCGTAATGAATAAATCTCGAATTTCTGCAACAGTCTACAATTTACTATTCTGGAAGACAATTCTATTCTGGAAGACAATTCTTAAAAAAATGATTGTAAGCCTTTGAAGAAAGTTGACAGCTTTTGTAGCCTCTTTTATGATAAAAGAAGGAGCTTCGTAGTGCTTCTTTTATCGATTCCTAGGAAGCTGTTTGGTAATGAATAAATCTCGAATTTCTGGAAAAAAATTCACTATTTTGATAGACAATAATTCGTTACAAATCGCTTGAAAGCCTTTAAAGAAAGATTACAGCTTTTGTAGCCATATTGGAGATGAAATGAATAGCCTATAACTGCTTCTTTTGTAGCTTCATTGGAAGCAGTTTGGTAATGAAAAAATCTCGAATTTCTGTGAGAGCTATGTAACCAATATTTTAATGGGAAATAGTTCTTTACAAATAGCGTGTAAGGCTTTTCAGAAAGGTAACATCTTTGGTAGCCACTTTAAGGATAAAAGAAGGAGCTTGAATGTGCTTATTTTATCGATTTCTATGAAGCTGTTTAGTAATGAATATGCGAAAACATACTTCGGTATCCAGATATTGATTATATTTCTTAACAAATGTAAAATAAAGGTTGTTGAAGAGAAAAGGTTATAGAGAAGAATTATGTTTTAGAATATTTTTCCAAGTGTATCACCCTGTCGATACTTCTTCTCCTGCTCGCCCCCTATGTGTAAGGTAATAAACTTTAACATTATTACATACCTACTGTAATGTATGTATGTACATTAGCCAGAACTAGTATATATGTAATGCTACGTAGGTAAAGCAAAAAAATACTGAAAAGGGTAGCTTATCACCTCTGAAAAATCTACGCGCACACAAAAGATTTTCTTGTTTGGTTTGGAATTGCGCTTCATTGTGGCACAATTACAATATTAAGTTACCCCCAATGGATGGATGGATAGATTCTTTTTCCATGGGTTCTTGACTACCACTACTCCTAGACTCAATGGCTGCAGGAGAACAAAAACAAAGGGGGAATGCCGAAACAAAAAAATACCTGGGCGTGAATAAAACCTCTAAATTTCACCGAATGCATTAACGACCACGAAAATGTGTTTAAGTGCAAACAAAATGACGGACTGACTACGAAAAATTGTATGAATGAACGAATTGAATGAGTGACTGCTATATGGAGAGTAGTACACACTGATTGAATGCTTTGTCGGATGGATTGACCAAACAACAACAATAAAGTACTGAAATGGAAGGAAGGACAGACAAACAAATCGTCCTAGATGTACAGGAGGTGGGGAGAATGGCAACAGTAGCTAGTTATGTTTGCAGCCAGCACTTAAGTACTTAGCCAAACAAAAGGGAGGATTTGTCGGGGCCAATTGTTAAATTATGATGAACACGCTGATGACGACGATGAAAGGTAACACAGAAACCGAAAACTACATTTTGTTTGTGTGTGCGTCTCACAGGGAAATGGGTGGTGGTGGCACAACAATGCTATTTTAGCCTGGGATAAATAAATGCGCCGGCAACAGGACATCAACTACAAATGAAGCGCAAAGCAAAGAAAACCGGCAAAACTAAAACTGTATCATTTACAAGGCGGTACTTGAAAAAAAGAAGCACAGAAAAAATAATCAGATTCCATTTCAAGTCCATTGTATTGAGATTTGTGCAATATTGTCGCAAATGCGTTACAATTGTTTTGGGTAATTGATATCTTTAACTCCTGGAGAGAGAAAGAGCTCAGGAAACACAACAAGGGAGGGAGAATGGGAGAGACCCTGCAAAATGGGATTTTAAAAATGTGGGCAATGAAAAATTTCTAATGTGATAATTTGCCAATATCTTTAAAAGAAATGTGATGACAAGCTGCCAGGTTAGCAGGCAGGCAACATACATGTTGCATGTAAGATTATCTGTCTGTATGTCTTGCTATGCCACAGCTTCTTAGAGTCGTCAAAAATATATATGTGTTCCCTTGCCTGGGTGTATGGATAAAAATGTAAATCGAGCATTTCATACAGCCCCACTCATGAGCCCATGCTGCTGCCTGCTGTCAGGTTAATTTTATTTTTGTATTTTTTTTTGATAAGCAACACACGCGATTTTTTCGGG